CGAAACAATGAGGGCCTGAAAATGGCCCTCCGTTTCAGGCTGAAAACTCTGGGTCTGAAAAGACCCAGAAATAGGCTGAAACGAGGTAGGGCCTGCAGGCCCTCGTTTTTCAGCATCCAGGCTGAAATGAACGGGGCCTGTAAGCCCTAAGTTTTAGGCTTTTAGGCTGAATGTCCGGGACGGGCCCTGTAGGGCCCGTGTGGCTACGCAGTATGCCACAGCGTACCTCCGCCTTTTGAATTTAGTAAACTCTGTCCTACCGGACGTATCTGCGCCTACCCGAGTTGTTGAAAAGGCCTACCGCATCCTATCAAATTCTACATCTACCCCTAGCCTTCGAGAGTTACCAATACATCCCTCTGTCGCCAAATTTCGGTTCTCACCCTGTGTCTACACATATCACCAAACTACCCCTTCTCGAGGTATACAAACACAGCACCAGAGACAGAGTGAGCATGGGACTCGAGCTTGGCACAATCAAGCACACGACATGCATACATCATTAGTAGGTCACACACACACACACACACACACTCAGAAATACAGAGAAAGGAGTTTTGGAGTTCCAATCATCTATTCTGGCCCATCCATCCCGTACATCCTTCCCACCCATGCGATCCTATCTCTCTCTCATGCATGCATCCCATCCATCTTATCCATCCCTGCCATCCTATCTATCCATCCTTCCCCTCTCTCCAATCCCATCCAGTCCTCTAATTCAGTTCTCCAGTCCATCCTGTCCTATTCCTCCCTCCCATGTTTATGATCCATGCATTCGGACACCTGGAATGTTGAGATCGGGATATGCATGTCCAGATCACATGGTCTGTCTGGATTAATTGTAAAATAATAAAATTGTAAATAAATATGTAGTTTTCCCAGTTTCTGGGGTCTGGTGCCACCTACAGCATTCAGTTTTCTCAACGCTGAGCTTTCTAACACGTGTGGCATGGTGGGACGGAGCTCTGCCGTTGATGTATTGCGAATCTAATGATACGGAAACACAGGAGAATAACCTATTAGATTTGGTCATTTTGTAGATTTTTTATTCGACGTGAAATCCGTTTTGTAGTATGCTTTGGCCCTTTTGGTTTGGGTGGGAAACCATTTTCCATTGAGAAAACTACCCTACCGAGGGTAGGGTACATTTCTCAACTGCAGTGCCTTTCCTTTTTTTTGGTTTTCTAGACATCATTACATCCTGAAACGGAGGAACTCTGACAGCTGTGTTTGGCTCTCTGGCATAGAACTCGTTTCCTTCGTTGGGCAATGAATGCATTTGGCCATCCACGTTGTCCCTGTCCATTTTACAAATGGTGACCTCCTGTCCCCTCACCACGGGGAGTATCCCTTTTTCACGGAGACATTCACTCCGACTGTTCCGGACATGTTTCATTTCTTCGAGTTACGTTATCAAAAATAAGGAGAAAAGCTGTTACTAGCGTTTTTTAAACTTTTTTTTTAGTTTTTAATTTTTTTGTTTCTAATTTATTAATGTCGAAATGGCATCACACCGTTGAGTTTTCTGAACTCAACAACGGTAGGTGGGACCAGACCCCTGGTTTTCTATTTTTCAAAAAAACATAAAGAGTATGGAAAGGAAGTGCAGCGTTCCGATACAAACAACTTCTGGCAGAGGGTCACACTTGACCACTTTTTGAGAATAAAAGAGATCAGAAAGAAAAATAACTATGCTTTTTTAGCACATCTCTTCCGTCCAGATCACATGGGTTGTCTGACCGCGATCCAGACCCAGGTCCTTTTCCAGTCTGGACTGTATCCGGGTCTGTATCTGGAGTAATCATCGTGATGCCTCAGATCCCTCCCAGTCTGGATTGTATATGGGTCTGTGTCTGGAGTAGTCATGAGGACTTGCATCCCTCCCAGCCTGTTCATCCCTCCAGTATATGGCATCCCATCGATCTTCCAGTCCATCCCATGCTGTCCATTCCCCCCGTGCATCGCACATATCCCTTCCATCTGCCCCCAGTTCATCCATCCCATCTGATCCTGTTCGATTCCTCTTTCCCATCCCTTATGATCTCCTTGTGTAGCTGCATGCGAATGAATATCCAGTGCGAACGAATATCTCCTTGTATAGCTGAAGCAATAGGCAAGCGTTTTTTCCTTATTCTGTGTGCTCGTCCATCTTCCCCCAGTTCATCCATCCCATCTGATCCTTGTCTATCACGCCCCTTCCTCTTTCGCATCCCTTATGATCTCCTTGTGTAGCTGTATGCGAATGAATATCCCGTGCGAATGATTATCTCCTTATGTAGCTGAAGCAACAGGCACGCGTTTTTCCCTTGTTCTGTGTGAACGTGTTCATGGAAACCGTGTTGATTACTTTCCGTTGTTTTATTTGTCGTCAACTCTGGTGCACAGGCAGTGGTTTATCCTGGTTGTTTGGGTGGGGACACACCTGATCGCAGATCCATCGCCAGAAAGCAAGAAGGAGCTGCAAACCTGCGAAGGCATGGAGCCCAACCCCCGATCAACTCATTGTCTTCCTTCATTACCTGCAATTGCAGCAAATCAACATTGCGGCCTTTGCCCTTCGTGGTCCTCATGTGGTCACACTTGGTACCTTGTACAGGGAATGGGATTTGGTCAGCCCCAACAATAAGGATTCAATCCTCTGCAGCTCCTTGTTGGGGTCCACCTGTTGGTATGTTCTGCAGCAGTGCCACTCGTTGAGGAAGAGGCGGAACTGTGGCTGCTGCTCCTTCTCTGCTACTTGAGAGTCTCTGTAGCATTTCGGATTGTTTCTGGCTGCCACTGCACCACTGTGCTTGTTCTCTAGACCCCCAGCTGAAAGTCTAGGCCACAATCAGGGAACAATGATAAAACATATGGGGAATGTGAAAGTAGGGCTGGGCCAGCAACAATGTCGACGGAGCATTGCACGCGAAAAAGCGGGATCGGTGACAAAAAGCCTTGCTAATGCCCAACGAGCAAGCCAGTCGCAAAGCAAAGGGCTGCCCTCGGGGAATGGGTCGAAGTCGTCGTTTAATGGCTCTCAGCGAAAGAGGGCGGTGGTCCAGAAGAAGCTTTCCGTCAATGGCGTGCTGTCAACAAGGCAAGCTTCTGAAAACTCTGAGTTGGAAAACCTGCTGCTGGAGATCATTACGGGGCCTGTGGAGAAGGTGAGCACCTGGCTGGAGGAACTCTCGCAGGAGAAAACTGCCGCCATACAGCAGCATGTGAAAGACATCCTCAAACGGAAAGATGGCAGAGGTACGTTCATGCACCTGCAGAAGGTGTTGGATGCCCGAAGCGACTTACAAGAGAGTGATCTGGCAAAGGCACACCGCACGGCACTGCAGATTCTTGCGACCGTGCGTACTGGGATCTTGGGATACCTTCAAGACGAGGTGGACATTCCATCTCAGTGTCTTGCACAAATCATCCTGCAAAAGAGGTGTCGTAATGTTGCCTGTTTATCCGAGCTTCCGGCCGACTCGTGTACCTGCCACCGCTGCAAGATGCATGGATTCTGCAACATGTGCATGTGTGTGGCCTGTTCTAAGTTCGACTTTGACTCAAACACTTGCCGCTGGATCGGGTGTGATTACTGTTGTCACTGGTGCCACACGGAATGCGCTCTGAAAGGGAGAATGATTAGGCCCTGGGGAGAAGCAGGAGCAGGTAAAGGCAAGGGCAGGCATCTCCAGGAGTTCAAGTGTCCAGCTTGTAATCAAAATTCTGAGCTCTATGGCTTTGTGAAAGATGTTTTCCAGGTTTGTGCATCTGCCTGGCAATCCGATGTTATCCGTCTTGAGCTCGACTATGTTCGGCGAATGTTTGAGAAGTGCCAAGAGCCGCGGGGGCAGAAGCTTCACAAGAAGGTAGTTAAACTGCTGGATGGACTGAGTCCAGGTGGGCCGCTGGCCGATATGCATGCGAAACTGGGTACCCTGTTCAATGAGTCAGACAGTATTTCGTTCAGCAGCAAGTCCCCATCGCCTGGTGTGAAAGTCGAGGCACACGACGGCAAGTATGACGATGATGTTGGGCCGCCCAAGAAGTTGAAGCGTGTGCTGGACGCCAAAGCTTCCTGGCAACTAGTGGGCAGTGCGTTCTCCAAGGTTGAAGCAGATGCTAAGGCAACGTCGATAGATCTCAAGAGGGCTCGACTCCACTATGAGATGTGTGCAAATGATTGCGAAGAGAGGACGAGGGAAGCCCGGGCACTCGAGTCGGAACGGAATGCGAAGCGGCAGCAGATGGAGCAACTGGAGACGATTGTGAAGCTGAAGCTGTCAGAGGCTGACATGTTCCAGCTTCGTGCGGAAGCTGCTCGGAGCGAAATGACTGAGCTGGAAAGGATAGCAGTCGCGAAGACACAGAGAATTGAAGGTGAGTATTCTGTAAGGTATTCTCGGCTGAAGCTTGAAGAAGCGCAAGCAAAACGGGAGGCATTATGCAAGATCATAGAGAGGCTTGAACAGGAGGTTGAGCAAGCCATAAAGAAGAGGGAAGAGATCTTGCCAGAAGCCATACGAATGGGTGTCTGGCCGCTACCTTCCCGAGACAATCCGTTTCCAAATTCACACCAAGTATCATGAGACCGCCTTTTTGTAGCTACGGTCTGCCAGTCCATCTTTATTTCTGTTGATTGCCCCTCACGCCGCCCTCCTCTCAGTCCTCCGCATGGCCAAACAAGAAAATTTGTAGATGAATAGGCAACAGAAGAGCTTTTCTTCGCGCTTCTTCCCACCGTGAAATTTGTTGATAGCCAACCCGTTCCCTGTTCAGCAGTAACCACTTTTTTTCCCTTCCCATTTGCTGCTGAAGCTCTGCTAGCACAATGTAGTCACACAGTGTCACGTTCCCTGTTCTTGCCCCCTTTCCTTCACAGAAATGAATGGCTAGGAGTTTTAGGTGAACCGAACTTGCGAGGAACGAGATTCAAGAAGGGCCATGGATCTACAATGGGTGTATAATTCCTTGTATATTCGAAGGCCAGTTGATGGCTGTGAGTTAGAGATTGACTTCTCACAAACCCACTGCTGTTTTCTGTGAGAAAGCGTACATACTGGGTGTGGATGCCTTGCCTTCTACAAAACTCTGATCAAATTGCTCTCCTTCTGCACTTTGGCAGTTGGGCGACCTTCTTGTTTCTTCGAGAGCCCCGACCGATGTTCCACCAAGTCCTGACTCCCAAACTCTGACAGGGGCAACTGGATGTATTCTTTCTTTCTTTCTTTCTTGACTTAAATTTTCCGCTTCCTTCATGTTTTTCTTTTCTTTTTTAATTTATCACTAATCTTCTGATGCTGACAGCTGCAGACTTCGTCTGCTGTGGCGTCCCCTCTTTCTTCATACCTTGTGTGGATGGGGGCATGCATTTCATCACGTCTCCGTCACATGTAACGAAGCGCGTCCGACCTCGTAGACTATGTTATGTCAACTGTTCCCAGAAGTAGAACTCGTAGAAAAAGTCAGGCCAGGTCAGTTCAAACCTTGGAAGAAGCTGCTTTGTTGTCGGCGGGCTTAGTTTTGGATTCCTGAAGTGAGTGGGACTGGTGTCCTACCTTGGGAATTGCCCAGTAGAGGTGTGACGGTCTGACAATGACTCTGATTGGATCATTGCCAGACCAACCTCCCAACCTGCCAACCTGGGTCGATGAACTCGTCAGCTCCACGCGGCTACGGCAAGTGAGTCCCCTCCTTACAGGTGCGTAAAGCGGTACACTGGAGGGAAATGTACTATCGTTGGTTGCAAGGTCTCCTACGAGCTGTCATCCAGCAAATGGCTCTGGAACAAAATGTTTTCCCTTTTTCCACCATCAGGAAAGGACCAGTACATGCCAGCCATCGACCGCGGGCGCCTTTCGAAGGCCGCCTGCCGCCGATGAAATTTATCAACAGCGTGCAAGCCTCCAAAGTTTCAGGAGAGGCTCAATCGAAGTTTCAGGAGAGGCTCAACCGAAGTTTCAGGAGAGGCTCAACTTGGCTGGGGCCATGTACTGGTGGTGTAAGAAGGCCCTTCGGTGTGAGGCATGTGTTGGTGCGCATTGACTGAAGCATGACCTGCTTGTGTGCCATGCTAGTTGTTTAGCACACCCCTCGGAGAAACCGGTGTGGTCAGCAGCATGGGTCACAACAGCATAACTGTGTGTGAGACGGGAGCCTGGAGGCAGGTTCTTTGCTAGGAAACTAGTGGAGAGGAGGAAGTGTATGTGTGAAGGTAGGGGGGTATGTGATGGATAACAGTGTGTGAGACTGGAGCCTGGAGGCCAGGTTCTTTGCTAGGAAACTAGTGGAGAGGAGGAAGTGTATGTGTGCAGGTAGGTGGGTATGTGATGATGGATGGTGGCTATCGCTGTAGGCCAAAGATGCTGCTTTCTCTTTAGAAGTTTAGATCCATGTAAATGAGATGACCTCTGGTTGACGTGTGTGATTGGATAGGATGCACGAGTCAGCACGACAGCTTTTTCATGCGATCTCCTCAGCTTGCTTGCCTCCGTGGTCACGCTTGTTTCGAAATTACGCATAGTTCGCAATTTTTTCCTGATGTGGTGCGTGAGGTCTTGCAATCAAACACATGATGAAATGCGGATGGGCCGCTAGCTCAAGACAACCTGCACAGTCCACATGCATTTCTCCAAATGAGGGACCTAATGTGATGAACTAATGCTGTGCGACGAAAGCGGGACAAAAGTGGCGGCCTTATAATGTAGTGCTCTCGAGATTGGCAGGATGCTGTCAGGAGAAGAAATTAGACGACATTGCAATCGGATACTGACCGTTCATGGCTTAGAGTGCACTCCATAACAAGTTAGAGAGAGTTGCTCCCACGAGGGGAAACCCGAAGACATGTCCTGCTAATTATGGAGTGGATGGGTTAAAAGAATTGAACATCGCAACTCATGCCTCTCTGTCCGGGCACACCAAAGCTCGCAAGTGTTAAGGCGATGACAGGTTTTCCCTATCCTGGTGCGCTGCTAACTTCTTCCAAGCTCTTTGACTTTTCAGTGTGAGCTAACGCGAGTTCTGCTTGCTCGCAGTTCAAGGACAGTGGTAATCTTTTGCAGTGGAGGATTTCAAAACATGAAGTAGGAGCAGGAGCAGGAGCAGGAGCAGGAGCAGGAGCAGGAGCAGGAGGAAAGACATGCATGGTTCACCTTTTCTCAACATTTGGGTTTTGTACTGCCAGCACAGTGCCGTGTGCTGAGGCATGCCATGCCTTGTTTGGAGCAGGATCAGGAGCAGGAACAGGAGGAACAGGAGGAGCAGGAGAGGAGCAGGAGGAGCAGGAGGAGCAGGAGGAGCAGGAGGAGCAGGAGGAGCAGGAGGAGCAGGAGGAAAGACTTGCATGGTTCACCTTTTCTCAACATTTGGGTTTTGTACTGACAGCGCAGTGCTATGTGCTGAGGCATGCCATGCCTTGTTTCTCAGTTTCTTACCGTATTGTCGGATCTCCTTCACCTGTCCACTTCTGGGTTTATTCTTCTATGCATGGTGGCGAATATCCTGGTCAAGAACAGAGCTTGTGATCCGGCTTAGATTAGGCACAAATGCATTTGTGGTAAGCTGTCTGTGTAGCAAAAAAGATTACCCCATTTGCTTTTGCTTGGCACAACTTCATAACAATGTTGTTAAGAATCTTAAGATTGTTGGAAATGCCATGGAGATGAAGATGAGAAGATGTCTGAGCACCGTCTCTGAAATGTTTTGCGCAATGCGGCAATGGTCGTCTCCATGCAAGTCACTTTTCTCTTCTCCCTTTCCTCCCCCTGTTTTCCAGATAAAATAATGCTGCATGGAATTTCTGTGTCTTTCAACTTACTCCTGCAGCCTCAAAACTAATGTTTTGCATCCTGGAGTATTTGAAAGAAAGGAAAAAAAGAAGTTTTGCATCAGCAGCGACGTCTCCCTTCGTCTTGCTCTTGTGCTTCACAGACTCATGTATGCATGACGCATATGCGGCTCATTGTTGTCGTTTCAGGTCGAGTAGGTTTGTCTGTTACGTGAATGTGTTCACCTTGGAAACTGAATTGATTCAATGCACCCCTGCATGTGTGACGTGCACACACATTTTCCTTTTTCAGAAGGATCTCAGATGCCCCCGACGGTTTTGCTAGGACACTGGAAACTGTAGCTTAGGGCTGAGCAGAGAACAGAAAGCATCATTTCTTTTTCTGCTCTGTGGTTCGTAGAGGAGTGACGACAACATCCTGTTGCTCTAGTGTCCACGAGCCCCCTTGTGCTGAACAACCAGCCTGACGACTTGTACGTCAGGGTGCATAGAATCGAGTGCAATGGGACACCGGGGAAAAAGCTATGTCGTGTTAATTGGGAGACGAAGCAACCTTTTACTTAGGGTGTACCTGTGACGTCCGGCCGGGCAACTTGCTTGCCCAGGGGGACTTCTGCCGTAGTCAACCTGGCCCGGGCATGCTAAGAGTCAGAAAATGTTCTCTTTTTTTGTTTTGTTTTTTCTTCCGTCCATGGGGGGGTCTGTGCCTGCCAAAAGAAGCCCAAAATCTGGGTTGTTTTGCAGTGCTTTTGTTGCTGGATTTTTGGGAGGTGGCAGGGAGGTTTGTTGGGGGTGTGCTGTGGGGAATGGAGAGATTCAAGTAATACACCACAAAGAGACTGCAACAAACATCTCTCTCTCTCTCTCTCTCTCTCTCTCTCTCTCTCTCTCTCTCTCTCTCTCTCTCTCTCTCTCTCTGAAGAAAAACAAA